CTTAAACATATATCTATTTTTATCTTTCTTTGTAAATAAATAAAGACAGACATATATTTAAGTTTCCTTTAAAACCAAAATAACTTTTGTTATTTAGGTTGTGTAGCCTAAGGCTGATATTCATAGTCGAGTCTTATATCTAAGATCGTCTTCAATTTATCTTTGGGTACTCCATAGTTAATGAAATAATTCGTACATTATCTGAAGATGAACTTAAGACGATCTTAAATATAAGATTCGACTGTGAATACCGACCTAAAAGAAACATCTTTTTCCTTAACTAAAACAATAGTTTTTACATGAGGGCTATTTAAAGTTATCGAATCAGAGGGGTGTATATCGGTTGGACACGGGGCAATTGGACACAGTCCAATCACAAGTCGCTGTTCCAAGGGACCCTACAAATGTCCTAATCACACGGTGCTGTGATTGGCTGTGTCCAAATGCACCGTGTCCAAGTGCACCGCTCCCAAAATTACGACGGCTTGCTGCCTGGGTAAGTAATTAATAAATGATTCTTAGTATGATATTTCTATAAGGGAAGACTATACTTTACGATGGTTATCATAAAATTTACGAAAGCAATTTATTCCATCCTGTAGGATACGTCACATTGTGCAATTTTTTGAAGACGCAACATGTCTTTACTTGTGAAACGACTGCGGAAAGGGGAAAGAATAATTTCAAAATATCTGACTAATATGTTCCTTAAAATACAGACTTCATTTTTGAAATAAAAAAATATTTTTTAAATACGATAATGTTTCGTAGTATAATGGTTATTAAAAATTGTGCGACATTTCGACAAAAAATAACCTATGCGATAATTTTGTTGACGAGTGTATTTTATGTGTAAAAAAATATTCAACATGTGTAATTAAAACATTTTAATGTAACAATTAGTTAAATAGTAAAAGTACGCATACGTGAGAAGTAACACGCGAGCGTCGAGATATAATAAAAAGGCCTAGGCATGATTCTCGCCATTTGCAGTATTAGCTATAGCTATAAGTCAGGAGAGAGACGGCAGCTTGTACGTCTCCACCGCCCGAGCCTGGCTAAAGCGCCAAGCGCTATAGTTCGTGACAGGCAGCCCACACGTACACAGGTTTTCACTTGTGTGCACTGCGCCGCACGCACTATAGTTATGGCTCCTGCACACAGGACGCGGTAAT